TTCCTCAATCACTTTGTTGTTGTCATTCTATTAGTAGCAGCAGCCGTATTAGGCAGGAAATGTTTTTCTCGGTACGTGAAACAAATTCTTGCCAGAGAGTTAGTTCTGATTTACAGTGCTGCCAGAAAATTATGAGAGCCCTAGAAATGGCATTTTGTTATTGTTTTCGATTGTTCATTTGCTGAGCCCTGCGCAGCGATACACTTTAAACACGTTGCAGTCTGAAATACTTAAAAAAATACAGTCCCTGGGCGCCTGGGTGGCTCAGTTGGTTGGGCGACTGCCTTCGGCTCAGGTCATGATCCTGGAGTCCCGGGATCGAGTCCCGCATCGGGCTCCCTGCTCGGCGGGGAGTCTGCTTCTCCCTCTGACCCTCCTCCCTCTCATGCTCTCTCTATCTCATTCTCTCTCTCAAATAAATAAATAAAATCTTTAAAAAAAAAAAAAAAAGATTCCTCTCTTACTGATCCATTCACTGCAATATTCTTTTAAGAAGTGACTTATCCCTGGGCGCCTGGGTGGCTCAGTCGGTTAAGCGACTGCCTTCAGCTCAGGTCATGATCCTGGAGTCCCGGGATCGAGTCCCGCGTCGGGCTCCCTGCTCGGCAGGGAGTCTGCTTCTCCCTCTGACCCTCCCTCCTCTCATGCTCTCTGTCTCTCATTCTCTCTCTCGCAAATAAATAAAAATATCTTAAAAAAATAAAATAAAATAAAATATTAAAAAAAAGAAATCACATTTTATTTTATTTTTTTAAAAGATTTTATTTAGGGGCGCCTGGGTGGCTCAGTCGGTTAAGCGACTGCCTTCGGCTCAGGTCATGATCCTGGAGTCCCGGGATCGAGTCCCTCGTCGGGCTCCCTGCTCGGCGGGGAGTCTGCTTCTCCCTCTGACCCTCCCCCCTCTCATGTGCTCTGTCTCTCATTCTCTCTCTCGCAAATAAATAAAAATATCTTAATAAAATAAAATAAAATAAAATATTAAAAAAAAGAAATCACATTTTATTTTATTTTTTTAAAAGATTTTATTTAGGGGCGCCTGGGTGGCTCAGTCGGTTAAGCGACTGCCTTCGGCTCAGGTCATGATCCTGGAGTCCCGGGATCGAGTCCCGCATCGGGCTCCCTGCTCGGCAGGGGGTCTGCTTCTCCCTCTGACCCTCCCCCCTCTCATGTGCTCTCTCTCTCTGTCTCATTCTCTCTGTCTCAAATAAATAAATAAAATCTTAAAAAAAAAAAAATACAGTCCAACTTTGGCTTCTCCTTTATCTGGAAAATAACTGGATCATCCACCTAGCTGAAGAATGACAGACAAATAAAGTGATGGTAGTGGTGGGCATCCAGTGTGGTGATGCATATACAACATTACCATCTTACATAGAAATACCTTCTCTCACCTACCCATGGAAAATAACTGCAGCTATATGTAAGCCCAGGCTTCTCTAACTACGAGGGCAAGAGGAGATTGGTATAGGTAATGGTAGCATGGAGAACTCTGAAAAGATTTTATGTAGCCTCTGAAAGAAATGACACATTTCCTTTCCAAGTACCTTTTGGAAAAATATCAGACTGTTGTTTTAAAATAACTTAAAAATAGAACCTGGCAAAGGTGAACATGTTTCTGAGGTCTTGGTTTTAAGGAAAGACTTTTTTTTTCAGATTGGCATGCTCTTGGAATCTCAAAGAAAACCCATCCATAAAAAAATGGCTAGAATAAGCAGCAAGCAAAGCATAAAATGAGTTTAGGTGAGTGGGTGTAAACTTGTCAAAATATTAAAGGAAAAGTTAAGCTGTGATATTTTAATTTAACTCAGAGAGAGTGGCTGAGACATTCAGTTAGGCAGAAAATATTGTGGTTTTTGTAGAAATAAAACAATCTGATCTTGACACTCAGTGATTATATGGTCTGTTAATAACATGCTAGAGTTTTTAGTAGTTTTGTCCTGTAAATGTTACTAAACTGTATTACTGTGTTGCTTTCAACTTTAGATTTTACTTCCAATTTACTGAATAGTAAATTTTTTTGAGCTCTTGAATTTGTTGATTTTTTTTAATAAGCAGCCCAATTTAAGCCTATTTTTACAACCATTTATTACCCAATTGAGACACATTCTAAACACAGTACAAGGGGCGCCTGGGTGGCTCAGTCGTTAAGCGTCTGCCTTCGGCTCAGGTCATGATCCCAGGGTCCTGGGATCGAGTCCCGCATCGGCAGGAAGTCTGCTTCTCCCTCTCCCACTCCCCCTGCTTGTGTTCCCTCTCTCACTGTGTCTCTCTCTCTGTCAAATAAATAAATAAAATCTTAAAAAAAAAAAAAAAAACAAAACACAATACAAAACAAAGTCTTATATTACTTAGTAGAAATTATACAACTTTGTTTAATACGTAGGTTCTTGGTAGTACTGGAGTTAGGTGTTAAACTTAATGTTGTTTTGATTTAATCTTGGAAATGGGAGATTTCAGCATTGTTGTGGAAGGAAGGGAAAGAGCATGGCTTGAAAGGAGAAGGGACAGAACTCCAGATAGAAGATGTGAATACAGAGAGGTAGAGCTGACTATCAAGGTCAAGTGCCTGTTTTGGAACTTGATTCTCAAGCATGGACGGTCTTCTCTCAGTCTGGATGTAATCGATTTTCACACGAAACATCATGTGAGATAATCTAAGTCCTGCCAGTTCCAGCTGCTATGGCAGCTGGTGCGCAGTAGGTCAGCTGGGCGCAGACCAAATTGTAATACTGATGTTTGTCCTCCAAAGGAAGTAATTGTGTGTTCCCAAATGCTGGTGTCTGGGTAGTTTCCATGTTGACCTGGGGCTATTTTAAATATCATTCTGAACTTCATGAAATAAAAATTAGGCTTTTCGAGGTTAGACGATTGGATGGCAGAGATAAGCTTTAGGGTTTCCCACTCAACGGCCAACTTCTCTGTTACTGAGTATTGCTCTTCTTCCACGAGGGAAGACCATGTGCCACGGAATCGTCCTTTGAGCTGCCTGGGCATCCACGAGGATGTGGAATTACAAACTATAAACATTAAAGGTCCCTTCCTACATGATTTATTCTGCTCTCCCTCTCTCGTTTAATTTTGGATGTGAACTTAGACTTTTAGAACTTACTGTCACAATACAGGTACCTTGAAAGAAAGTCTGCCTATTTATCTTGCCTTGTGAACCTCATCACATAGGAGCTTGTTTAATGATGCTCAACTGAAGAAACTGTTTGGTATTCTTGGTGTCATCAGATGTCCTGTATTAGTACCTGCTTGATTGCCAGCAACAAAAATAACTCAGGCTGACTTAAGCTATTGAGAGTGTTTCTGGTAAGGATGCTGTGGTGTTTGCCTCACAGAACCCCAGACTAGGGAAATAGCTCCGTCTTGGGCATAGGGGACTCTCACCTGGACCCTCTTTAGCTTGCTTCTGCTTCTTTTAATCGGTTGACTTCATTCTTTCCCTTTTTCGATGTGCAACATTCTGCAGTCTAAATTGGAAAACATATGACAAGAAGCAGCCATTTCAACTATTAGAGATACTGATCTATTTTTCTCTCTCTCTGTTTCTGATTTCCCAAGGGAGGAGCTGATTGATCCAGCTAGGATCAGATGCCCATTTCTGGTCTAGCCGGTTGTGATCAGGGGTGGGATGTGGAGAAAGTTGGCAAAGGCTCAGTTGTGACCAATCAGCAGCGGCTGGAAGATGGCGTGTTGTACACATGGATTCTCCTACGCTGAGGCCTGTATCCAGTTCATATACAAAGTAGTAATTTGCCCACTGTGCTGCTAGGTCCTCTTACTTATTTGGATGAATGAAGGTCAACATCTAGTCTTTCTTTATTGCAGGCTAATTATATACAGTAATCTGTATGGATCTGAATTACAGTTGGGCAACTCCTGACGAATGCGGGTACTCATGAAACCAACTCCCCAGAGCCTTATCATTACCCCGAAAGCTCCAGCATATCCCTTTACATTCTGTCTTCCTCCCCCAGAAGCACCACCATTCTGATATTTATCCTCATAGACTAGTCACACTTGTCTTGAATGTCAAACAAAATGGAGACACATAGTGTCAACATTTAGTCTTATGTATTTTAGTTTAAGGTGCAGACATTTGATCAGTGCCAACTGTGTGCCAGGATCCGCGTTGCTGGTAGAAATCCTAGCGTGACTGTGACAGAGCTGACAGGAAGGGGCAGTGGGGTGGTTGGGACGCAGCGCAGGGGCAGAGTGAGCCTGTGCGGGGAGAGGCAGGGAGTGTCCCCGGCATTCGGAGGAGGAAGGGGCCCGGAGCTGTGAGGAGCTTCTGCGAGCAGAGGAGGAAGAGCCCCAGTGTTCCTTATTGTTCTCCGGACATGATAAGCCAGCATATGAAACTTTGGCTATTTTGGTCATTTGCCATTTTCCTGCCTGTGTGCAGGATTTCCTCATCTCCCCGTGTGGGTTCTGATGAAAGGAGAGGCCTGGAGACCTGGCGTGGGATGATTTCCTCCCGGGGGCAGGAAGGCCGGGAATTATCGGGAGCCAGCAGCGGTGTGGGCGCTGCTTTCTACGCACATCTCTCCCGGTCCTCCAGAAGCATTGTCTTCCCGTTGGTGTCTTCTGCTTCCCTCGTTCGGCTCAGATGGCAGGCGACCAAGTTTGCATAGTTTGCTTTTTATTAAGAAAAGCAGCAGTTTTCTTTGTGTATCTTTATATAATAAGATTTTCCATATTTTTAAAATTATTTGAAATTCTGACTCATAGCTACCACATAACTTGCCATAAATGGTCATAGATTTGCAGCTAGATATGGGGCGTGTGGGTGCACACGTGTGCCCGGCCTGTATGGAACGTACTATGTGCTGTGCCTGTGGGCACTGCTGTATTTCTCCAGTTGGTCCAATTGATTAATGTTATAAGGTCAGTTGGGAAATGGGATTGAAAATAAAGTAAATAGTTACGTTTCCCTGGAGCACAAACAAGATGAAATTGCTAAAGACTCCTCTTTCATTCTTTTCTTTTCTCCACAGAACCATCCGAGTATGGCTGAAAAGAGACAGTGGGCAGTACTGGCCCAGCATTTACCACACCATGGCCTGTGAGTAGCTGAGCTGTTCCACTTGAGGGGCGTATGTCTAATGCCTTTGGTGATTCAAATTTCAAAATGCCTGATTAAAAAGTGCTACGAGAGGGGCATCTGGGTGCCTGTCAGTTAATTGTCTGACTTGATTTCGGCTCAGGTCGTGATCTCAGAGTTGTGCGATCGAGCCCAAATGGGGCTCCATGCTCAGCGGGGAGTCTGCTTGAGATTCTCTCTCTCCCTCTGCCCTGCCCCCCAGTAAATAAATTAATAAAATATTTTTTCTAAAAGTGTGCTACTATATTTCAAAATGGGTTTCTTAGTTGCCTAATACTCCAACAGGCTGTGCTAAACTGCAGGAAAACTTTTCTTTGGCAAAGGAAGTCAGGTCTGCTGGCTTAACTGAAGCTGACTTGAGCAAAACTGAAAAAAAAGGGAAGAGGCAGGGGGAGGGGCGTGCCTCACTGCCCCCAGGTTTTCCTTTGTTTTTATTTTGCCAACCTGTATTCATAATGACTGTATACCTGGCGGTGGCTGAGGCTGACACTAAAAAAGAGCCCTGTACTCCCATGCCCTCATAACCAGCCTTCTGCCCAACCTTTTCACAAACTTCCGGGTACTACTGAGAGATTGAGAGATTGGGTCCAAAGTATAACGCGTTCTACATAGAGAATTTTCTCAATAGTTAAATATGTTCACAAAATAAATCTAGAAGATAAAGCTTTTGCATTGAGATTTTAAAAGAACCCTGGGAGGCAGTGACCTAAATTATAAGTTCCAGCCCTTCGTGCGGATGTGACAGCCCCCCCATCCGTCCCTGCCCCCCCTTCTCCTCCTCCTCTCTTGAAAAGAAAGCCCTGGACGGAGGCCTGGATGCCCCACGGGCCCACCCTGGGGTTGGGTCCTGCTACCCCAAATAGCCACATGGAAGGCACCATAGCTCTGCTCACTCCCTCGTGTGGTGTTGGTCCTTAATGAGGAATTTTCCTCAACTAAGGGTTTCAGTATTCAGAGGACCCCTGAGGAGGAGAAAAGAGGCGCTGGGGCCTGCCTGATGCTTTGTTCCTTCTGAAGACCATGGTCAGGTCCTCCGAGGAAGAACTCTTGCTGGTCGTTGTAGACACTGTTGACAGCGTTCCCAGCCTTCTCAAGAGTTAGTCCAGAGGCAGTAGAGTGTGTTACAAACCCAGAACAGCCAATTTTTCAGCATATTCCGAGTAGTCAGTCTGGGTCGTTCTTCTGAGTGCCTCCTTTCTCGGCTGGCGCTTTCTCCTTCGTACATCTGTTCCGGTGTGCATGCACTGTTCGGATCCTGTGATCACATTCAGAAAAATTTAGGAGTCAATCAGGAGCTGGATTTTTCCTGCCTTGCCCGGACAGCTTGTGCAGGCTGCTCACCTTGCCTGTCTTGGTGGTTAAGCAACGAACATGAAGACTCTGTGGACTACTGCTGTGAAGATAACTATTACAAAAGGAGCCATACGGTTCTACAGCATGTACCCTCTGAGAAGCCTCCCTGAAAACCTACCCATGACATTTGGTGCCAGGCAGTCGCCCCTCCTGCTGCCCGCGTCCGTGCAGACGGGGCGCATAACCTTGCTTACTCACTCTCAGTGACGACGACCCGGTGTCTTAGTCTGTGTACTCAGAGAGCCCGCTGAATAAATTTTCAAATCAAACTTTGGTTGTTTCGGAGCAGGGCAGAGCATCTCTCAGATGGATGATTCCTTACTTCCAGTGGCCCAGGGATGGGTCTCCCCGCTGGAAGTAGCAGCGGCCTGAGGAAGTCCTGCTAGTGCTGGGGGGGTGTTTTGTCATCTTTGTGGACAGTCTTGTTCACGCTGTTGCTCTTCTTCCTCCTTCCCCTCCCTTCCTCCACACCTCACGTTTCGGGCATAGCTTCACGTCCTTGCATCCTCAACCTTGGAGTTCCTGCTCCCTGGAATAGAGACTGAGATGGATTTTGTCCTATTTTTAGTTTACTTACTCCTCAGTTTGTATTTAGCCCAGAGAGTTAGTACAGCTGTGGACTTTCTCTCCTCAAATTTAGCAGAAGTGTGCACTCTTCCTTGGCTTTTAGGTCTTGAGCTCGTGGCTTTGGCTCTCAGTTGCCCTCCCTAGCAGTTGCTAACTTGGCTTAAACGTACCCCCTGGAAGCAGTTCCCGGAAGGCTGTGTCTGGAAGGACCGGCAACAACTGGAAAGAACAGGCATAGCATCGTTGCGGGTGGCCGACACCCACGTGTTTGCACCTAGACGTACTCAACTTGTTGCTTCCAGATGCTTCTTTACTGTGCCTTACAGTTCTGTCTGGAACTACACCACTGAGGAGACTGTAAGAACACTGCCTGCAGAGAACAGAATGAATGAAATTATGAGAAATGACTGCTCTACAATGACTTTTAATTGAAAACCGAATTCAAAATATGAGAAGTGTCTTGTTCTAAAAACTGTCTACAGATTATCCAGTTGAGGACATTTTAGTGACTGTCCACCAGTTTTAACTTTTCCTTGTGACCTAACAGAGTGATCAATAAGCCAGACCTTAGTGTATTGCTCTGTGCGATCCAGTTGTTTCATAACTTTGCCTCACGTAACAAAAATAACTTTCAGAATCTGCTTTAGCTGAAGAAGAATGGTAACTCCTAGTTTCTGTAATCTACTCTGTGACTCATGCCTATTTTTTGGTAATACCACTTTATGAAATCACACAGCTGTACAAGGTAGATGATTTTTCCACCATTTGGTAAGTGAGAAAACTAATGGCAGAGGGGTTGAGTCAGTTGCTTGTGGTGGGAATTCGGTCCATGCCCATTGGATTCCAGAACTGGGCTGCCCACCAGTGTTCTCTGCAAAGGGCCAGCCTGTAAATATCTAGACGCTGTGGGCCAAACAGTCTCTGTGGCAGCCACTCAACTCTGCTGTCGTAGCGCGAAAGCAACCATAAACAGTACATAAGTGAAGCAGCCTGGCTGTATTCCAAAAAAACAGAAATACCTTTATTTACAAAACTCGAGTTTGAAGCGTATGATTTTGGATTGCGATGATGCCTTTTTAAAAGGCCGCTGATTTGAAAGATGATTTGTGTTTTACGTGTTTATAAAACTATGAATATCCAATTTTTTTTTTTTTTTAATTAATACTGCTTATCTCATTAGAAGCTTCCTTTCTAGGAAAAAAAACCCAGGACATCTTTACATACAGAGCAAATAAATTAGGGAAGCTTTTTTTTTTTTTTCTCTTTTTTCTCTTTTTTAAATGTGGGAATTCTCTAGCCTCATAAAACTACTCAGCACATTGTAAATTTTACACGAGAGCATGTTACATATTTATGGATAGTTTGTTACAGGGTTGGACATAAAAAGAATTGAAAAGAAGCTGAAAACTAAAGCATTAAGATTTTTGTACCAACCTAAAAGTAAGCAGAAATGGTGACGATGAATCAGAAATCACCAACGCATGTTTGATTTGCCAAAGATAATTTTATGATGGTTATTGAAGAGTACTTTATATGAAGAAGATACATACACCTTTGTGATTATAATTCTTAAACTCGATCATTCTTTTTTAGAGAGAGAGAAAGAGAGGCAGAGGGAGAGGGAGAGAGAGAATCTTAAGCAGGCTACACACCCAGCATAGAGCCTGCCGCGGGGCTTGATCTCACGATCTGAGATCATGACCTGAGCCGAAGTCAACAGTCAGATGCTCAACCGCCTGAGCCACCCAGACGCCCCTCGATCATTCTTTATAGTCTCCCACTTCAGTGTGGTGGGTGAGGGGGTCCAGGCTTCAGTCACGTGTGATTGTTTTGTGTGCAGACCCTGCAGCACCTCCCTACCAGCGGGGTAGTTCTCTGAATGCACCCGAGAAAAACCTCTTTCCATAACCTGATCACGCAGCTCGCTGTGTCTTTGCCTTCAGGTGCGGTCCAGCATTAGTTTACTTTCATCCTTCAGTGGAAAATATCAGCCCTTTGTAGAGAGAAAACTTTAAACTGTTTTCAAATGGTAACGGCATTTACGAGATTTTTTTCTTTTACTTTTTTAGAAGAAGTGTTACCTTAAAGTAAACTCAAGTTTGTTTGTTTCACAGTATGTATTCCCTTGTTGTGGTTCTCCCATAGTCAAACTTCTTTAGGCTGAAATGAACCCAAATATTTCTTTTTCCACATGTTCCATTTTCCAAATCACTTTAATTCTAATTTTTAGCAGAAGGAGATGATCTAGAGTTTCTCCTTTCTGAAACTCTGGCCCAAGCTTTCTGGAAGAAAGACAGGTAGAACCTGGAAGGGGATATGAACACGAGAGGAAGCAGGTACTATTCCAGGCACATAATACTGCTGTGGACAAAGAAACATGCGTGTATACACCTCACAACTCTGCTTACTACAAACTGAGGTTGTGTATGTCATGGGAAAGGGAGCCTTTCCTCACCATTGGAAGAGAACACGTAATCCCAAAGTGGCTTTCCTAGCTTGCTCGCATGTACGGTCGAATGGGAATTCTGGTGCTGGGAACTCCTTTTCTACAGATTCCAGCCACTCTGTTACCTGTGAGGGGGAAGAGGAGTCGGGGCAGGATGGCCTCCTGAGTTTGGGTAACAGATTACTCATTCTAAGCACTGGCCCCCATGCTCTGCAGCCTACAGGTAGGAGTTTCAACCAGATGAGACTTCATGCTGGCTTGCTTCCCTCAAAGTCATAAAAATAATGTAGAACATTTTTTGAATTGGAATTTTAAACTAAAAGAAAGAACGTCAGTAACATTTTCCATTTACATCATTATTTTTTAAAATTTTATTATGTTATGTTAATCACCATACATTACATCATTAGTTTTTGATGTAGTGTTCCATGATTCATTGTTTGCGTAGAACACCCAGTGCTCCATGCAGAATGTGCCCTCTTTAATACCCATCACCAGGCTAACCCATCCCTCCAACCCCCTCCCCTCTAGAACCCTCAGTTTGTTTCTCAGAGTCCATAGTCTCTCATGGTTCATCTCCCCCTCCGATTCCCCCCCCTTCATTTTTCCCTTCCTACTATCTTCTTCTTCTTCTTCTTTTTTTTTTAACATATATTGTATTATTTGTTTCAGAGGTACAGGTCTGTGATTCAACAGTCTTACACAATTCAAAGTGCTCACCATAGCACATACCCTCCCCAATGTCTATCACCCAGCCACCCCATCCCTCCCACCCCCCACCACTCCAGCAACCCTCAGTTTGTTTCCTAAGATTAAGAATTCCTCATATCAGTGAGGTCATATGATACATGTCTTTCTCTGATTGACTTACTTTGCTTAGAATAACACCCTCTAGTTCTATCCACGTCGTTGCAAATGGCAAGATTTCGGGTTTTTTTATGGCTGCATAATATTGCATTGTGTGTGTATGTATATATATACACCACACCTTCTTTATCCGTTCATCTGTTGATGGACATCTTGGCTCTTTCCGTAGTTTGGCTATTGTGGGCATTGCTGCTATAAACGTTGGGGTGCAGGTGCCCCTTCGGATCACTACATTTGTATCTTTGGGGTAAGTACCCAGTAGTGCAGTTGCTGGGTCGTAGGGTAGCTCTATTTTCAACTTTTTGAGGAACCTCCATGCTGTTTTCCAGAGTGGATGCACCAGCTTGCATTCCCACCAAGAGTGTAGGAGGGTTCCCCTTTCTCCGCATCCCCACCAACATCTGTCGTTTCCTGACTTGTTAATTACATCATTATTTTCTAAAAAACATTCTTGCCCTCTTTTTTAAACTTAAATTGTATAATAATGTATTTTGAACGATGACTTAGAATGCTTAGGTTTGCTTGTAATATGGTCTTTGTCTTTCTGGCAGCTCCCTGCTCTGCTATGGCTTACCATCATGATAGCAGACGAATATTTGTGGGCCAGGATAATGGAGCCGTAATGGTAGGTAGTTTTCAGAGTGTATTCGTTATATTGACCACCCTGTGTTCATGCCTGTTGGACAGTTTAAATAAAGAAAAGTGAATGCCTGATTGGCATAAAAAATGTTTAATTTTTTAATTAATTAGATTAATTTTAATTTGTGCTTATTTTTAAACCAGTCATGGAGCTCAGAATGCTTTCATGATTGATGGTTTGGTGTTCAGCCTTCATACAGTGAATATATGGTCTGCAGCAGCCTCGTCCTTGAACCATGAGGGGTTAGCTTGGGCAGGGAGGGCACAGTGGAGAGCCTGTGGGTGCTCGCATGCGCACGTTGTGTATGTGTGTGTATATGTGTAAGTGTAAGTAACAATGGAGGGGGAAGGAGAACAAGGTCAGTGACTAGTCATTCAGCCAACAACTCCTATAACTCTTTAAGGCAGTGCTTCTCTAACTCTGGTGAAAGACCAGATATTTAAAAGTTCAGTTTATTACAGATTGGTAGGTATTTTTGTGGGTCTAATTGTGTGGGTGTGTGAATATGTATGTTTTCTTAATGGAGATGTAATTCACATAAAACTCACCATTTTAAGGTAATGCAATTCACTGGGTTTGTAGTATATTCACAGGTTATACAAACATTAACATTCTCTAATTCCAGAACATTATCATCACCCCCCCCCCAAGAAACCCATACCCATTAGCAATCAGCCCTCACTCCCCCTTCTCCCAACTCCTGGCAATCACTAATCTACTTTCCGAGCCCAGAGATTTGCCTATTTTAGACATTTTATGTGAACAGAATCACATAATGTGTGTTGCCTTTTATGTCTGGCTTCTTTCACTTAGCATGACGTTTCCAAGGTTCATCTATGTTGTAGCTTGAATTAGCACCTCGTTCCTTTCTGTGCTGGAGTGGTATACTGTGATATGGGCGTAGTAGCCCTTCACGACCCTTTGTGTTTCTGTAAGGTCGGGAGTCCGGTCTCCCGTCATTCCTGAAGTTAGCGGTTTGAGCCCTCGCGCTGTTTGTCACTCCAGCATTTCAGTTGCATCCATCTTTTCAAAGAACCAGTTTTGGTTTCATTGGTTTTTTTCTTTTGTTTTTCCTATTCTGTGCTTATTTATTTCAACTCTAATTTTATTATTTTCTTCCTTCTGTTTGCTGTGGGTTTAGCTTGCTGGATTGATGTTTTTAATACTACATTGTTGGATGAGAAAGTCCACAGATTTCATCCTTGGGTGTCATAACAATATGAAATTGCTATAAAGGTTGCTGAACACTCACTGCCTATTTCCCCTTCTCATTGGGACCAGCCATCTGCAGACCACACCGAGTAGCACTGCTTTACAGAATAGAAACAGTAAGAATGAGACTTCGCTAGTGGGGTCCAGTAAGTGTAAGATGACGTAGTAAGTACAGCCCCACAGAGGGCAGAAATTGCTGTGAGTGTGCACACGGTCCTCCAGGCAGAGCATCTGGAGAGGGCTCGCGCAGGCTTACTAACGTGCCAAGTCCTAGAGGATGGCAAGGAGCTCACCGGGCGGGGCAGGTGGAGAAGGACCTCCAGACGCCAAGGAGGCGGGGGGCTGTGTGCAGGGAACAGCAGTGAAGCGCATCACACACCCACAGCTGAAGAGGCAGCGAGAGTGGGTCACGGAACGCCTTGCATTTGAGTCGGTCTTCAGCTCTACGTGTTGAGCAGAGTGCCAGTGGAGAAGAAAGTAGATGCGGTCCTGCTGGGCTGGTGGGGTTGGGGGGTGCTTACGGTCTAGCGGGAAGTTCAGATAATACACAGGTAAATAAGCATCAAGTTGCAAGTTGTGGTAAGCGCTGTGGAGACGTGAACAGGTGCAGTGAGCAAGACCATCCAGAGGGGTTTGCGGCCCCACTGAACAGGGTTATCGGGAGGGCTGCTCCATGACATTTCAGCTAAGACCTGGAGGGTGGGAAGGAGTCGGCCAAGCAGAACCAGAGTAGGTTTTCCAGAAGTGAATGTCCACGTGAAGACTCGAGGTGGGAACATCTCTGTGTGTTTGAGACTTCGGTGGAGGTTATCATGCTGGATGGTGCTGAACGCCGGGGAGGGGCCGAGGGGTGAGGAGAGATGCGGGCTGGAGCCAGGTCATGCCGGGCCTGGAAGGTCTGGGTAGTGTTTTAAGGTTAGTTGTAGACGCTGTGGGAAGCTCTTACAGGGTTTTCAACAGGCGAGTGACATGATAGAATTTACACCTTTAAAAGATCCCTCTGGCCAGTGCTCGGTGCAGAATGGATCATTACGGGGGAGGGAGCAGCGGGAGTGGAAGCTGGATAGTCAGGCTGTTGTGGCCACCTGGATGAAAGGGTGGTGATAGCGAGAGTGGACAAAAGCAGATTGATTGGTGAGGTGCATTGGGGAAAGGTTGGGCGTGCGGAGGGGAGGAAGAAGAAGAAGTTGGGTGATGGCCAGCTTTCTGGCTTGAGTAACTGGGTGCACAGTGGTATCATTTACTGAGAGGAGGAAGACTTGGGAATGTGTGGGGAAGGGGCATTTGGAAGGAAAGGGGACAACAAGGGACCAACCAACTAACTGTACACTTGAGAGACCAGGGGGCTAACCAGTGGCCGTGGGAAGTCAGCATTGGATACACAAGTCCACGGCCCAGTGGGAGCCTGGGCAGGGGGGTCATCAGCATGTAGGGTATTTGTTAAGCTGTAAGAATGGTTGTGTTTACAGCCATTCACATGAATGAGAGGAGACAGGGCCCAGGCCTGTGTCCTGAATAACAGCATTTAGGAGTGGGGTTAGTGGGGAAGCCCACCAGGGAGAAGGGGAAATCATGATCCTTCTGTGTGTGTTAAGGAGCTGACTATATCCTGTAAGCAAGTTACCCCAACTTACATACTCCTACGCATCATTTAGGGAACTAAATGGGATACGTGTTCTCTGGTTCCACGCCAGACCCACAGCTTCAGAATCCCTTGGTGGGGGGTCTGGGAGTCAGTATTTTAGCAAGTCTTCCAGGTGAATGTTGGCTCACAACCTTGGGAGCTTCCCAGGTGAAATCTGAAACCAGCCCCCAAACTCGGAGGGCAGGGAGAGACCGAAGAAAGAGGCAGTCCACTCCAGATTGCTGAGTGGGAGGTTTAATGAGCAAGGGAGCTTATATATGAAGTTTGTCTTGAGTAGCTGCAAGATGAGTAAATCTCTGCCCCCACCCACCAGAGTCTTAAAAGTTTATATAGAGGCCTTAGCTGGGTTCAGTCATGTATATCGTCCAGATGGCCCCAACACCACATCACTGTCAAGGCTATGTGCTTGGGGCAGCCTCTGGAACAGGGAAGGCAAGTGGGACACACATGCCAAAGACGGGGAAGGGTTGAGGAGCCTCTTGACGGCTGACTGCCAGGGCCCAGCTCATGGGTCAACAAGAGAGGTCAGTGACCTCTCTCAACAGTGAACCTTAGGGTCAAGTGCATTAGGGGGGAGCCATTGAAGAGCATTAGGCGGGGGACGACAGAATGGTTGGGTTTCTGTTTTTGTGAGCTTAGTGTGCCAGTGTGTGGAGTTTGGGGGGACAAGGCTGAAACTGAGGCGTCCCAGTTAAGAGTCTGTTTCAGGACTCCCAGTGGGACACTGTGAAACGCTGGGGTAGTGTTGGAGAAGAGGTGTTGGCTTTGAGAGCTTTCTGGGAAGCAGACTTGATGTCTAGTTGGATGTGGGTGTTTTGTAGAGAACAGTGTGAAGATGGCTTCTAGAGTTTTAGCAGGATGGTGGTGGTGAGTGGTCAGCTATGCTCTAAGACAGAGAAGATGTGATGTAGAGGGAAAGGTGACGAGGTCAATATTGACAGTTGGGTACATGGGCCTGAACCTCAGGGTTTGGTCTGGAATAGGGGTTGGGAGTTCTCTGAATGCAGAAGTCCGTGAAAACTGCAGCAGTGGTTGGCCTCAACTAGGGAGAGCAGATAGACTGAGAGGAGCAGAGAGCCAAGGTTACCCTCCCTAGGAATATCAGTATTTAAGGGAAATTCAGAGACTGGGAGCCCATGGGGGAGACGGAGGCAGAATGGGCAGTGGGAGGAGAGCCAGCCAGGACGCTGGGCCACGGAAGCCGGAGAGGCAGTGAGTTTCACGTGGGGGTGAGTCACAGTGTCAGGGGCAGCAGGGAGAGGATGAGGTCAGGCCTGGAAAAGGACCTTGGGAGCGGCACTTAGCAGCTGGTGCTAAGCGAGGGCAGCCCTTTTCCTGCCGTGATGGTGGCGTGTGTGCAGTGGGTCGTCAATGTGGGCTGATCTTTAGAGAAGGAGCTGAGGAAAGTCGTAGAACTGCTAAAAGAGTTGTGTTGTTTTCTGCTTGTTTTGTTTCTGAAGTTAAAGGCTAAGAAGCCTTGAGTGTGTTTAAGTGCCAGGAAGGAAAAAGCCAGTGGAAAGGATAGGCTCTGTGCCCAAGCAGTTCACTCAGCAGTAGGCGGATGGTGACAGATGCAGGGTTGGGCTCGCCCAGCTCTTTGCCATCAGCCTGGGACTGTTATAAATACCGTGGTAGTAGTAGATGCAAGTGTCCTCGTCTTTCTCCTTCTGGAAATTTTATAGGAATATCATGGTGATGTGCATGCACATATATAACCAGAAGCCAAGAAGCAGTTTGTCCAGTGGTTGCACACTTTATTTCTCTAGGGACCCTACTTGTGGCTCCCGAGTCAAGGGTAGACTCTGTGATTATAGGACAGCATATAAAAATTCATAGCTCTTCAGTGCAAAGGGGCAATGTAAATCCGGTGTATCGTTCGTCAGCAATTGATCTTTGATTTTCCACCCAAAACAGATCAGTATATATACAATGATATATATACTGCTATATTTATACTGTCCCCAATATGTATATATGTGTATATATGTATACACACACAGTCAATATATATTAATACATATATATACACACATATATACTGATACATATTTGTACTATGCAATACCAGGATGGAGAGCAAGGAATCAGTATTCCTGTGTGTGTGTGTGTGTGTGTGTTTAACAATTCATAATGTCCATGTTTTTTAGAGCCTTAAGAACTTACCAGTTAGCATTGATCAATAGAATTTAGTGCGTTTTCTTTAGAGTTTTGTCTTCTTGGTTTTATGCTGAAGCTGATTTTTTCATTAAAAAGCATATACTTTTATTTTTTCCTACTTATAAAGTATTACATAGTCTATAAAAATTTTGTAAATACAAGAATATTAAAAGAAGCAAACCACTCACAATCTGTAAATTTCCCTTTTTTGTGTGTTTTCTATATGACATATGTATATTTTCGCCTTTACATTGCTGAGATTCCCAATGCCTTATTTTCACTGTAGCTGAGAACCCTATTTGTAACAGGGTCTTTGCAGTTTTGCTTTATGTGTATCATCTTGAGGAATACTCAGTGTAACCAAGAGAGCAAAATTAACAAGATCCCTCCTTTATAGTAGAAGGAAAGGGACTACAAAGCTTGGGCTTGTGGGGGAAGAACTGAGCAAAAATGCTGTGCTGGTCTGCAGCAACTTTATTCGGTCTGGTCCCCAGAAGAAATCGTGGCCTGAGGACAAGTCTGATGAAAGAAGCCATCCCATATTACTCTTTTTTTTAGCCCTTCATTTATTTTTTTTAATTATTGTGTTAATCACCATACGTTACATTGTTAGTTTTTGATGTAGTGTTCCATGATTCATTGTTTGCGTATAACACCCAGGTCTCCCTTGAGTGACTGTGGAGTCTGAAAAACAAACTGAGGGTCCATATTATTATTATTTTATAGCTAATCTCAAGGTCCTCGTCTGGTGATAGCTAGTCTTGGATTTTACTTTGTTTTGAAAGTTAAGTTCCTGTTTTTAAAACCGTAACTGTTTTCTTATTGCATGTGTTTACTTTTAGGAATTTCACGTTTCTGAAGATTTTAATAAAATGAACTTTATCAAGACCTACCCAGGTAATTATAATACACACACGTACTTGCATACACATGCATGTAGGTAGACACACACAAAATGAGAACACTGTCTCATGATCAAAATTAGGTCTTCACGTTAACTTTGTGGATATGTTTCCCCCAGTTATATAGGATGCTGCCAACTCTTCAGTTATTTACCATCCTTTTCCTGCTTATCAATGTTTAAATTTTTGTATACTATTCCATTGGGTGCATTATCAGATGTAATTTAACCATTTTATTTTTGAGCGTATGTGCTGCTTCCATTTTTTGGTAACACACACTAACATATATGACAATGTATATATATCTGTGAGTGTATATTTCATATATACATACATATGTGTGTACGTGTCCTTGACTCTGACTCTAATCCTGTAACCCTGGTTGCTTCTGTGTCAGACAGATTCCTAAAAGTGGAGTAACTGGGTCAAACATTAAAAAGTTTTTTAATGCTCTAGATTTATTTTACAAACTTCTTCCCAGCATTACTGTGAATTTTTACAGTCCCATGAGTGGTGGTTGAGAGTATTTGGTCATCCAGTCTGTCCAACATTGCTCTTACAAATGTTTTTTTTGCCTGTTTGATAGTCAAAATAGTCAATTTATAAATTATTTAAGCTTTGCTTAATGTCGATCATTTGTTATGTTTGGTGAATGTCTGTTCATGATTTTACCCATATACCTACAGAGTTGTAGTATTTTCTAATTAATTTATAAGAAAGAGTCCCTTGGTTCTTCCAAAGCAACCTATACAGCTGAGAGCAAGGTCAGAAACTTCTCTGCCTAGCCTCTGACTTCATTCATCAGACTGGTGTTTATTAAACGCCTGCTGCATGCCAGGTCCTGTACTAGATGAAGTAGACAGGGTCCTGGTGTGGCTTGCAGTCAGCCTGGAAATGCAGACATTTCAGGAGTTAGGTAATAGAATACCTTCCTCATTCTCAGCTATTATTTTGGAATACAGAACTCTACAAATACTTTGTCTTTATAAATAATAAAAAGTTACACACAAATTGTTCCAGAAACAAAATGCTTACACTATTTTTTTTAATTTCGGAAAATTGAAGTTCTCTTGTTTACAATGCCAGTGTTTTAAGATTTATGTATTTATTTTGGAGAGAGCGATGTGCGAGCAGGGTGGGAGGGGGCAGAGGGAGAGAAGAGGACTTCTCACTTCCCCAGCCCGGGCTCCATCTCACGACCTTGAGATCACAGCCTGAGCCAAGACCAGGAGTCCGCTGTTTAACCGACTGAGCCACCCAAGCGCCCTTACAATGCCAGTGTTTTCTAAAAGGTCAAAGTACTAAAGTGATAGACTATAAAAAAACATTGCTCTTTTAAGAAAAGACTACTGCTTTCCATATGGAACGTATTGATAGTAAGAGCACAGTAAAAATGTTCTCTCGAGTATAGCAAAAAAAAAAAAAGGCCTGGTCTTTGATCAGTTATTGGAATCCCCCTTGAGCATCAGTCTTTAGTGACCTGCAGCTTCTGATTGTCCACCAGGTAGGGAGACAGGGCGGCCGGGAAGCCTGTGGTGGTGAGGTGGGGTAGGGCAGTTTATCTGAAAGCTGCTCACAGGGGACAGGCGTTTCTGTGGTACGACTGTTCAGACCGTGAGTCTCCAGGCCAAGCAGCTGGAGAAGGTGAGGCTCAGTCTTGATTCGGAAGGTCCCATTTCTTCGTGCAGGGCGCAGACTTCCCTTTCTGTCCCCGCAGCTCATCAGAACCGGGTGTCCGCCATCATCTTCAGCCTGGCCGCCGAGTGGGTGATCAGCACCGGCCACGACAAGTGTGTCAGCTGGATGTGCACACGCAGTGGGAACATGCTGGGGAGACACTTCTTCACTTCCTGGGCTTCGTGCTTACAGTATCCTTCCAAGGGCTGGACCTTCTCCTGCCTAGCACCTCCTCGGCTCAGTGGTTGGCTTGGCTTTGAGGATGATCATAAACTGTCAGTTGAGATCCAAAGACTGAGGGATGCCTGTGTATTTCACATGAAATGCAAGACTTCCTGTATCTGCTTTTCTTTGGTATAAAATTGGTGTATTAAAAATAATAATTAGGTGAATTACTGTTCTTATTGGGAGGTACAATCTATTTTTAATACAATATCTTAGAAACCTAAACCTCATTAATGCAAACCCCACCCCTTCGTTCCTTTGTATTTGCATTTTAAGGTGAAAGAAAAGACTTTTCTGTTGAATAAAGAAAGACCAAAAGGAGTCTATCTTTTATTTGGTTATTGGCAGACCCTGAAAGAGAATAGAATAAGGATTTGTGACCCTGGAGTCCATAAATGGGCTTACAGGAGTTTTACAGTTTGTGTGAATGTGTATGGAGAAGGTTCATAATCCTTTCCATATTCTCAGAGTTGCCTCAGGATCCCCAGAATGTTAATGAATTGCTGCTTTCACAGTTTTTTAACCTGTGTATGGAATTTGTTTCATGGAGAATTTGCCCTTGCTTAGGGCTCCCCGTGGTAGCTATCTTAGTGACAGCAAGATTAAGGCTGTCAACAACAGGCAAATACCCCATAGTAGTTTCTTTTTCAGAGTTGGATGTCTGGTGTAGCAAATTCTTTTTTTTTTTTTTTCCATTGAAAGCCTCTGTACAAAAATGTTTGCTACAAATGAATGCACAGCATGAGATATTTAAAATAAGCGTTAAAGCAGTACCATACACTTCAGAATCAAATAAGGGAAAAACACTCAGATATTTGCTAAATAAGTCTTTCTGTTATGTATTAGGCTTTACATATGGATTGATAGAAAAGGGCACAGAATCACAGAATCATGACCCAGCCTGTGATGTTTCTTTTGACCTTTGTTTTGGAATTAAAGCAATGGTTATCCTGATGTGTCTAAACTGCAGATTGGCCACAAATGTCTATGGCCATTAAGTGACTGAGAAAGTAATGAGTTGTTATCAATAGTTAGTTTAAAATTTAAATTTACCACTACCCCAAATAACTGCCTTTTGGATGAGTAAACTCTCCATGGCAATTTAAAATAAACCATGCTTTTCATTTAAAGCTGCATCATCCAGGCCAAAGAAAGATAGGTGTTCGTATTTGCTATCAGTTTTACATTATTTCCAGAGGTAATTCGTAAACAGCCATTTTGTTCCAGTTCTTTCTTGCTGTTTTCATTATTGAGTATTTTACCTTTTTATACTTTATTATAATTTGATTATAACTACTTTTTTTCATGTCTGACTTCTCTGTGAGCTCTTAACCTTTTTTACTGCTAATTCCTAGGGCATTGATTAGAATAGTCCTAGGTACTCCATGAATTCTTGTTGAATGAATGAATGTTAACTTTCCCAAGAAAATTTCCAACTTGAAAGCTTGTTTTCTTAAATATGTACATATTGCCTGAATTTCAGTTGGGTACTTCCTGTCTCATAGTTTTGTGCTTATGTCTTTAAAATGCACATTTTTTCTGTTTTATAACTTCTAGATGGATTGTGTTATATATCCTTGACTGCTTCTCCACAGATACGATTTTGATACTCAGTATGCTTTTGTTGGCGATTATTCTGGACAGATCACCCTGCTGAAGCTGGAACAGAACTCCTGTTCAGTCATTACCACCCTCAAAGGCCATGAAGGTAGGCTGTGTGATCACCCACAGGTTTTTCACCTAATTTGGGCATCCAGATTCAGTTCTCAGCTCTGCGGCTTCATGAATGATCAGCTCCTATGACCTGTCAGTTTCAGTTTGATTGGCCAGATGTGGGATTTAGATCTAAAGGACTGAAAGCGAACTGAAGATCGGGTGTTGGGCTGGGTTTCATGTCGTCAAAATCCCTTCCAGATTACTCATGTGGATAATACTTTCTATTTTGTTTGCCTGTTTAAATTATTTTCAGAGGGTCTTTGAAAATTTCTTGTAAATGGTGAGATCTTTAGAAGAATTTTTTTTTTTTTTTTTTTTTTTTAATTTGTCAGTTTCTAGGATACTGAACAAGACCTGGTGGAGCAATACAATTAGGAGAAATGTCTGGGCTGGTTCTGCCTCTGCTTGGTTAGGGACTGAGGGGGAAGCATGGGTGGAATTTTATTATTTCTACAGTACAGTGAGTTGGCCAGTTTTCATGGTTTTAAAATTCAGTTGGCTGTATTGGGTAACAAATTAGAAGTTTTGACACTGTTTGGTTTAGATTGAAGAATTGGGGATTTGTTCAAAGAATTAATGAATAACTTATTTATGAAAACAGTGTTTTAAGTATAACGAGTTAAAGGTACTCTGTGCTTCCTAGCTAATTTATTTGGGTGAAATCGAGTGTGTCAAATCAGGGACCTTGTAGAGCAAAGAGGAGAGAGGAGAAGAATAGCAAGTTAGAATGTACTTGGGCAGGAAAGCACAGCCCCTAAGGAAACCACTTGTGTTTATGACTAATGGTCTCATGATCCCCAGGCTCCCAAGTATTCTCTGTGTTGCTAAGGACAGGCTGGGTTCTGGTAACTGCTTAGTAGTGTTTATAGCGAAGGCCTATGTTTATCTGCTGTCAGGCCTCTAGCTGAAGTGTATGGGGCACAGGATTAAATTTATGCCTAACTGTTCCCTGAAGCAAGTTTTGCAGAACACTTCTTTTTTCACTTACCTTAAGTTTCTGTGAGAAACTAGTTTCTGTTGTTTGCTTTTGAATATGACTTCATCAGTTTTCTCTATAACCACCAAAAATATTATTAACTTGTGTGACTGGCTCTGTTTTTAAGTTTGTTAATAATTTTTTCTAGGCAAGCAGTAATCAGTAGACTATGAAGAGAGAAATCTGTTGAGAGAGAAATCTGTAGAAAGAAAGATTTCCCAAGGATATTGAATCTGATATAAATTCTCTGGCATAATTGTGTGGTACACCTACAGAGCATTTTTTTTCTGAGACCCTCAATTTAATTTTTTTAAACATGCATCATGAGGTAAAACACCTGCAAGGTCCCGAAGACCTGGAATAATCTAGGTTTTTAGATTACCTAAGTTGACCACAGTAATCTTCACTGTCTTTTCTCATTAGTGTTAGCTTTGTTTTTTTCCTTCAAAAGCTTTTTCTGAACTAACCCCTCATATATAGCTATCGTGTCATTTTTTTGATACAGAATGAAGAAAAATTTCTTTAAACATCTTTGTCTGCAAAGTAGTTTGATGTGCGTTGGAGATCATTACCTTACAACTCTGAGGGATGGATGTGCTCTGTCTTCTCAGTGATCTGTGATAAAGGGTTGGATGACCTTTCGCACAACAAAGATACATTTTTACTTTGGGGCTCAGCTGGTCCTCGTTCAGTCCAGCTGTGCTGGTGTAGGGCTGTACCTAACCCCGCCCTCTCTCTCTCCCCCGCAGGTAGCATCGCCTGCCTCTGGTGGGACCCTATTCAGCGGCTACTCTTCTCAGGAGCCTCTGACAACAGCATCATCATGTGGGACATCGGCGGACGGAAAGGCCGCACGCTCCTGCTGCAAGGCCATCAGTGAGTGACTGTTTTTGGGGGTGGGGACAGAATTGGAGTCTGCGGGGGGGGGGGCAGGGCAGCATTCGTATTCTGCTACTGCTTTCTCAAACCCCCATCTGTTAAGACAACCATTTGCTGGGGCTCACTCAGGCCCTTTTAATAGCTCTTCTGTGAGTCCTGAGTGTCTGATGTTGTAGAGCAAAACAGAGCCCAGGGTATTCTTCCTTCTTAGTCCAAAGAGCACTTGCCACTTGCCTCTCCCGAGGAGTCACCCTGTTAAAATACCTGCCTAGGGCACAGGCGGGTTAAGGAGGGCAGATGAGGACTTTCACCATGGAAGACTGCGTGGAATGCCATGCTGAGCCTGTCTCGAACTGGGTGCCCGACTTGTTCTTTTATTCTGACGTGTGGGTGTGGTTTGACACAGTTACCGGAGCTAGGGCAACATAATGCCCAGGCTCTTGCCTTCTGGTTTTGAGAGGAAGAGGACATTGGCCTTTCCTTTCCTCCCCGTTGGTTAGGCTGTTGCTATTTACCATAAGCAGAATCAGGTTGAAAAGTAGCCAAGGAAAGATTTTTTTTTTTTAAGATATTATTTATTTGACAGAGAGAGAGAGCACAAGCAGGGGGAGTGGGAGAGGGAGAAGCAGGCCCCCCGCTGAGCAGGGAGCCCGATGCGGGACTCGATCCCAGGACCCCGGGATCATGACCTGAGCCGAAGGCAGACGCTTAACGACTGAGCCACCCAGGCGCCCCCTATTTTTTTTTTTTTTTTTAAGATTTTATTTGACAGAGAGAGACAGTGAGAGAGGGAACATAAACATGGGGAGTGGGAGAGGGAGAAGCAGGCTCCCCACGGAGCAGGGAGCCCGATGTGGGGCTTGATCCCCGGACCCGGGGATCATGACCTGAGCCGAAGGCAGACGCTTAACCAACTGAGCCACCCAGGCGTCCAAGGAAAGATTCTTCACCCAAGTCTGCAGGGCAGGAGATTGTTTCGTAGGGCATCCAGAGGAGGAGTCCGACAAGCACACAGGAAGGGGGCAGATTTTGCCCCATCATTTGTGTGTGTGTGTGTGTGTGTGCACGCGCACGAGTGAGTGCACGGGCATGTGTATGTGTATCAGTCTCTGTAGCATCTCATCACCTGTTCTTATGGGTTGTGTTCCAGTAAGGGAGTCGCCCCTCCTTTGTTCTTCGTTATGCACAGGTAGGTGAATCTTGCAGACCTGAAAAGGAGTGGACCACAGCAATTGGCCCTGAAAACGGTAGCCATCGTCTTATCTGTGGCCTGCAATTCTGAGTGACTGACTTGAAAGTAGTGTCTATTTCATAGAAACTATTAAGCTGTATAATAAGTTACAGAATGCTGATTCAAGTTTAGACTAGAAGCCATAAGACCATACCAAATTGTCAGTGATAAAATGCCAGTGGCTGGTTCCAGCAAGGGGGGAGATTAGAGCCTAAGTGAAGACAGAGTCCGTGTTTCTCCATATTGAGACAAGTGACCGATGTGTGTTGTTTGCAGTGACAGAGTGCAGTCCCTGTGTTACCTGCAGCTCACAAGGCAGCTGGTCTCCTGTTCCTCAGATGGTGGGATTGCAGTGTGGAACATGGACGTTAGCAGAGAGGAGGTAAGAGAATGAGCAGGGCAAGGCTGAGAACCTGGCTTCTTGGCTTCCCACCCTGCTGGCTCTCGATGCTGACCAGCTCACAGACAGCCCCAGCCCCTCTCCCTTGTGCTTACCGGTTATCATCTAACAAGGTCCTGCGTGTCACTGCCCCATGTCCTCTCCCCATGTGAGAGTTTCCACAGTGACAAGCATTGCCCACAGACGGAGCATGTGGGCTGTTTTCAGTCTGGAGACAGCCCCCCATGTCACTGGGGCACGCGCTGTGCCCAGCCCCGGGAAGCACTGTCGTGGCCCCATGGCATCCCTGTTACCCAAAGCTCTGGGAGGCCTGCTGTGACTAGTGTCAGGGACCTTGCCAGGTGCCTCACGTTTTCCTGGGGAAGGGTATCTCTGTCCTCTGCTCATGTCGACATGGTGTTCTTCTCAGGAGCCCTGAGTTCTCATTTGTTGGGGCCACTAACTAGTTGTGAGACCTTGTTCAAAGGAGTGTCATTATCTCTCTTGAGTGTCCATTCCTGCATCCATAAAGTGGAATCATTCAGTGACACAACTTCCAAAGCCTCTTCTAGTTCTTGAGACAGATACGCTGATTGTCTAAACAACCTTGCCATCATCTTTTAAATTGAGAAATTTTTGACATATATCATTATATGAGCTTCAGGTGGAAACAGCAATTTAGCATTCGTATGTATTGGGACCTGATCCCCACAGTGAGCCCAGTTAGCGTCCAGGACCGCACATCGTTACAAAACTTCTGTTTCTTGTGATGAGAACTTTTAAGATCTACTCTCTTAGCAACTTTGAAATACACAGTGCAGCTTTACTTAGCATACTGTACTTCACATCCCCAGGACTTATGTATCTTGTAACTGAAGTTTGTACCTTTTGACCCCCTTCACCCATTTCCCCCACCTCCAGCCTTCTCCTCTAGCAACCACCAGTCTGTTCTCTTATCCGTGGGCAACTCGGTCTTTTTTTCTATTTTAAATAGTGCTGCAGTGAGCATTCTTGACCTTGTCATTGTGTGATTGTTCAATTATTTATTTCAGACAGATTTCTGAATATAGACCTTCTGGGACAGGGAGATGTACATTCTTAAGGCTTTTTATAGATGTTGTCAGATGACTTCCAGGCAGGATTTCCATTCTCATGACCACCAGCATGGGTATTATCTGTCTTTTCCAACCTGTGATGTAAATAGCAGAAGAGTTGACTTTTTGTTGATTCAGGAGAGATTTTAGTGTGGGGGACGAAGGACTTACAGTTTAACTTCAGACATTTCCTGAGCCCCTACAGGGTGGCTCACAGGTCCGGAAGCAGGTACATATGCGTCATAAAGGGCTTATGACGCTGCATGGCACCATACACGTGCTGTGACGTCACAGGAACGGTGCAGACCAGGTACGCCCATCGAAGCAAACACCAGGCGTGGATGCGCCATTCCCACCACACTGAGCATACGTCCGTTTTGTGTCACCTCCAATTGCTTGGGAGTGTCATTTTCACTGACTAAACCTCCATCTTTAGCATACCACAGAAGACATAATCCAGGCAACATTACTCATTCCCAGGCTTTATGGCTGCCATGCTCTTTATGCAGATTCGTGCCTGCTTTTTCTAGGCTTGTAATCTCATGAAGGAAATAGACTGTCCTATAAATAATAAAATGAAGTCCATAATGTGGAGAAGTAGTAACTGTTAGCTTTTCTAGGAGCCTTGTGAGACGAGTTAAGTAGAGGAAATCTTGATTACCTGTGTGCTGGCAAAATATTTTGGTAAGACTTAGGTAACTCATTATTAAATACAGACAACATTGGCTTAATATTAATTATGGACACTTTCCTTACAAAGCTTTATTTTAAGTGTGTTTTGCAAAAGCTGCTAGGTACAGGCATGGAGAACAGCTAGTATACTGTTCGGTTTCCTGGACCCTTGGCCTGTTTGTGTTGTTGTTGCTGAGAACACAGAAAACTCAGAGGCTGTGTCCCTGGCTCACATGGGAGGGCGACCCTTGGGGCCAGTGCTGCTGATGGTTCTCCTAAGGGCTTTTACCCACTTGGATTTCAATCCACTGTTCTTATCCTTGGTAAATTCTTTTAGGGGAGAAAAGGGACAAAATAAAAGCAAGATTCCCACCTTCAGGGTTACACAATTGTGGAATTTATTTGTATGTCTAGGGAAAGAAAAGACAGCCCCATCACTCAGGCTGCTTCCTGTGTAGACGATTCTCTTTTTAATTGTTTGTGCAAGATTACCCCAGATCACTCGCGTGCTGGCTGGTAACACATCGCACTCTACTAGCTTTTCTCTCTCGGTAGTTGACAGTGTTGGTGGGGAAGCAGATTATATCAGAAAGATGCATTATTGGGGCACCTGGGTTTCAGCTCAGGTTGTGATCTCAGGGTCCTGAGATGGAGCCCCACATCGGGCTCCGTGCTCAGTACGAAGTCCACTTGTGATTCTCTCTCCATCTCCATCTGCCCCTCCCCCTCCACACGCACTCTCTCTCTAAAATAAATAAATCTTTTTTAAAAATGCATTATTTTTAGTAGTCTTATTAAGTTTTTTAACCAGCTGAGTATAGTGCAAAGGGAAACAGCCTGTGATCTATAAGGTTTTGGCCCTGGGTTAGGGTTTGTACAATTTGTAGGACTTCCTTAGGCAAAGGCATGCAGAATTAGTCCCAAATTCTCTAGCCCCACACTGCTTGCTTGGAATTTCTGAGTCACCTGGAAATACTGATTGAGGCAGTTGCCTCCCTGCCAGATCATAATTAGAGGGGCTCCTTTTTGGAAGTAAGCGTGAAATGTAAATGAGCAAGTACTAATTAGAATGAATCCTCTTTTTTTTTTTTTTTCATTTGAGAGAAATGGTGAGTGAGAGCACAAGCCAGGAGGAGAGGCGGAGGGAGAAGCAGGCTCCCCGCTGAGCAGGGAGCCCGATGCGGAGTTCGATCCCAGTACCCTGGGATCATGCCCTGAGCCAAAGGCATATGCTTAACCGACTGAGCCACCCAGGTGCCCCTAGAATGAATCCTCTTTAAAAGAGAACTTTTAAACTAGTAGATCACAGGATGTATAATGGCATACATTAGTGTATATGGTATACATTAGCACAGTGTAGATTATTGCAGCAATTGCTAATAGCGGGGCAGGGGAATTATTCTTGCTACATCATCTTTGATCAGATGAGGCAGATGGAACAGGATGTAGAAAAGAGTGAAACAAAAATACTTGATTAATGTTCTCTTTTGCTCTTCTTCAGAAAGAACATTTTTTTCTCTGTAGGGAATAAGCATATAACAGGATGGTTCCTGACAGTGTAGAGCATAGCACTTCATCCTGTTAAAAGCAACAAAGTGACGGGTATTTCTTGCAATAAACTGTTCCGGAAAGCCTGTTTATTTCTGATGTTTTTTGTTATCTCAAATTACTTCAAGCATACCTTTCTTTCTTTGAGTCCCTCTCCCCTGCAGCTCAGCAAAGTAATATTCTTGCCGAAACCCCTAGACAGAATGATGCTCCTGAGGCTAAGGACCTGGTTCTGTTGGTGGTCACGCCCCAGAACCACATGTGGAGACCTCACGTGTTCAAACCCAGAAGCCCCACGTGCAGCTGCTGTGTGGAGTGTGGTAGGCAGGCCGAGGGGCTCAGGCGGTGCTGCGGTGTCTCCTGGGGTCGCCACCTACGCTCTCAGCATGCACAGGTGCTCCAGGATCAGAGCCACGGTTTCTCCACCTGCAAAATGAGGATAATGTTGCTCCGTATCTCCTGGGGTTGTGTGGAAGATCGCGTGAAATAAGGCATAGCAGATCCTCAATACGTGGCCTGGACTTAGATGATACTTGGCGTACCAGGCATCGTGCAGAGCACTTTGCCCATATTTACTCATTCCCTCCTCACACCCTTGCAAGGGGGATACTCCTGCTTGAATCTTGCTGCCGTGAACACGTCCTGCGCTTTGTCCCACACGCGTGTGGTACTGTGGGAGTCCCTCCGGCGTGGGTCCCAGACGTGAGACCATGCCGTGGGACCTGCATGTCCTCCCCTGTGCTGTTGGCCACAGGACCCACCGTGGGGGACGTTGTGCACAAGCACTGTTCCCAAACCACCTTCCCTGTCCTGTGGACCACGGAAACAAAGCGGTGCTTCTGCATCCAGACGGTACTCTTTCTCATGGAGGTGCACATCTCTGTTGCTCTTTCTGTCCTCCCTTCTTTCCAGTGTGTCTCTGGTCATTTAAAGGGACATTTCTCCTGTCTCAGCCCACTTCATGCGATTTGTGAGTGCTCCCCCTGCCCCCACCAAGAAACACCTTTGTCATGGCTGTCATGTGTAGAAATATTTCTAGTGACATAGCTAAAATGAGAAATAGGAAAGCCCAAAGTTCTGATGCAATAGGAAGCAAAATAAGGAAGTAGGGGCACTGGTCCTTGAAGTCCCCAGACATCCCGTTTTGAGTGTTGAAAGCCCTCTGTCTTTACTGCCTGTGTTAGAAGCGTTGATGTGATGCACGGTCTCTGCTCTCCCAGCATTGTCTCTTCTTACCACAGATATTTTTCTTGACATCCCAACTTCAAGATCAAAAAAGGATTATTTCGTCATAGTCTTTGGTTTAATTGATAGAAATGCCTGTTTTCCATTGTTACTGCACATACATAATGATAAGTGATTGAGGTTAAATATTAGCTTTGAACAGTTTCATCTTGTAATAGGGAACAATTTGTTTTTTTCGTTTTTTTATTTTTTTAAGATTTTATTTGTGGGCGCCTGGGTGGCTCAGTTGGTTAAGCGACTGCCTTCGGCTCAGGTCATGATCCTGGAGTCCCGGGATTGAGTCCCGCATCGGGCTCCCTGCTCGGCGGGGAGTCTGCTTCTCCCTCTCCCACTCCCCGTTTGTGTTCCCTCTCTCGTTGTGTCTTTCTTTGTCAAATAAATAAATAAAATCTTTAAAAAAAATTAAAAAAAAAGATTTTATTTGTTTTTTTGACAGAGACAAAGTGAGGAGGGAACACAAGCAGGGGGAGTGGGAGAGGGAGAAGCAGGCCTCCCGCCGAGCAGGGAGCCCGATGTGGGGCTTGATCCCAGGACCCCGGGATCATGACCTGAGCCGAAGGCAGATGCTTGTTGACTGAGCCACCCAGGCACCCCTATTTTTTTTGTTTTTTTTGTTTTTAAAGATTTTATTTATTTGAGGGAGAGAGGGAGCAGGAGTGGCAAGGTGCAGAGGGAGAAGCAGGCTCCCCAATGAGCAGGGAGCCCAACAGTGACATGGGGCTCCATCCCAGGACCCTGGGATCATGACCTGAGCCAAAGGCAGACGCTTAACCACTGAGCCACCCAGGTGCCCCTAATCAGGTACAATTTGTAATGGTTTATTTAGAGAAATATTTTCTAAGTTCTTGTTAAAGTAATGCTGAGACTTTAATCATCCTGTTTCAATAAAAATTCATTGAGAACCTAGTCTGTGACAGGCTATCCCTACACAAAGATGAGCGAGCGTGGTGAGTAACAGGTTAGTGGTAGAAAGGAAGTGTGCGTAAAGGATGACAGCACAGAGAGGCAAGTGCTGGAGCGGAGGTCTGGGGGAGGTGTGTGCATACAGGAGACTGTGCCATTCCTGGGAACGGGGGGTTGGGGGCGCACAAATCTGTCGGACACGAGACGCACCTGGAAGAACTCTCCTGTTGGTCACCCTGTGACCTCACAAGACTTCCCAAGTGGTAGTTCACCAGATTCTGTAAGAAATGGGTTTTCACTCAACTGGATATAGATACTAAACAACTCTGGCACAGAAAAGAAATATATGAAGACAACCCTGAGGAGTTCACAGTGGAAACTGAATTACTCCTTCCTGTCTATAGATTAAAAATCGAATAGTCCTGTCAGCATTGCTAAAATGATAGAGATTACTGAAAACACATAATATTGAATACGGCAACAGCTATAACGTATTGAGGGGTTTTTTAAAAATGCTAACAACCAACAAGGTCTGAAATTGTTGTATTAACCCTGAGAAATCCTAGTAAACAAGCAGGTGCTCCAATGGCCTCGACTTTCTCCTCCCCCAGGCTCCTCAGTGGTTAGAGAGTGATTCTTGCCAGAAATGCGAGCAGCCCTTTTTCTGGAATATAAAGCAGATGTGGGACACAAAGACACTGGGGTTGAGACAGGTGAGTAGCCAACACTGAACTGTCACTGGGTTAATCACGTATCTTGTTCTTTGTGGCATTAATCTGTCATTTGTATGGAATCGTACTTTTTCCTGTAAGTGCTGTGAACTCCTGCATTTTTGAGATCACTGTCTCTGTGTAACGAACCATGAGTGGGACCTTTCCTGAGGCCAACGAGATTATTACTTAAGTGTTCCATCCCTTGTCCAGTGTTGGAAAAGCAGGATGCACGGAAAACACTGAGAGCCTATTTGTAAATACATGAAAGATTCTTCAGTTAGGAGTATTGCTTGTTCAAGTCAGTGTTCTGTGCTAAGAGTGAAGCCGGTCATATGATTGTAAACCTTATGCTTTCACTATTTGTTAAAAATGTAACAATTTGGCCCTCACTGGAATACTGTGACACTAAGAACTTTAACTTATTCACAGATTGTTCCATATAAGTGTACCTGGAACATTTTTATTAAGCATGTTTCTGGTACTCTTTTTTTTTTTTTTTTGATTAAAGAAACATGTCCCAAATAGCCTGTAGATTTCAGAGACACCCTTATCACTAGATATTCATGTAATTCTAAAGTTCTACAAAAAACATATTTCTACAGCAACCTTGAAGGTAGCCTACTCCAATTGAATATGAATTGGTGCAGGTAAGTAATAAAGAATGCTAATTTCATTTCTTTGCACCTCTATGAGGGATTGGCCTAAAGTCTGTGTGTGTTAATAAACTTTCTTTAATGTTACTTACAAAGCTTCTGTCCCACAAGGTCTGATAGGAGACCGGCAGGCAATACAGGGGAGATCTTAGCATTCCTATAACATTCTGATGCTCAGAAATGGAACCCGAATTCCATGGTTAGCCCGCTTCCCGCAATGCATGTCTGCTGATAACTAGTGCATTATAATTGGTGGGCCAGATAATCCCTGCTTCTACGGGAAACATGAAGAAATTAATTTCCATCTTATGAATTAACTACTAGAAGAGAGGGGAAAGGTAGGGGTCACTAAACTTTGAGTGTTAAAAGAATATGACAAAATTAATAACTGGACTGTTTTGAAGGTTCTTGAAGCTTATGTCCAGAGTGATTGAAAGATTATAAGAAATAGTAAAACATATGATTATGGATATTTCTTTCTTTTTTTTTTTTTTTTTAAGATTTTATTTATTTGACAGAGAGAGCACAAGCAGAGGGAGAGAGAGAGAGAAGCAGGCTCCCTGCTGAGCAAGGAGCCCGATGTGGGACTCGATCCCAGGACCCTGGGATCATGACCCGGGCCGAAGGCAGATGCTTAACCCACTGAGCCACCCAGGCGTCCCTGGATATTTATTTCTTAAGGAGGGCATACTACATTATTTCAAAACTTTTCTCTGACATAGGAATAGATTTTTTTTCTGCAACCTCTAGTCGTTTGAGCTCCTAAATGAACTTGAAGTTGGTTTTAATAATGCTGTTTGTAGACATCTAGACAGATAATATGAATGAATAAAAAGCAGTGTTGGACCAGTAAGACAAGGGTCTTTGGAAATCCTTGACGAGTGGACACTGCCTTTTGTGTTAACGGGTACACTGAATGGGGTGATTATAATTCAAGGCGACTCCTCTGCACTCCCACCCCCTGCCCTAAAGGGAAGCCGGGAGCACCACAGCAAAAGCTAAACTCCCCCTTTTCCTCCTTCGGTGGTCCTGAAGCATCACTGCCGGAAATGTGGGCAGGCTGTGTGTGGGAAGTGCAGCAGCAAGCGCTCCAGCTACCCTGTCATGGGCTTCGAGTTCCAGGTCCGCGTGTGCGATTCCTGCTACGACTCCATCAAAGACGAGGAGTGAGTGTGTGTGGGTCTTTGTCTTCCTGGGTGCCCGCAGGGAGGAGAGCCTGAGAAATGACAGGATGTATTTCTGCCCACCTGCCGTCTCTTCCCAGCTTCATAAATCGTTCCTGGGGAAGGAATTCTGTCCTCGCTGTACGGCCTCAGCGAGTTTCTCCCAAACAGTGTGAGGAATGACGTTGCTAAGACCGGTGCGGCAGTTGAGCAGTGGGCATCCCTGAGCCCCCGCAGGGTCAGGGCCAAAGCGCACTGATGCAGTGGCAAGCTGGTCCATCCGGTGCTCCAGCCTTGGCTCACACGTGCCTGGGAATTTCATTTTCTTTGCCTTCCCTTTGAATCATCTTAGAAAGCGCTAGCCTGGCAAACCTTGGCCGAGGCCCACCTGGAAAGGCTAGTCAGCATCACTGTGTCAGTCCATGCGCGCTCATGAGGAGGCTGGGGCTGCGGGCGCAGGAGCAGAGCGAGAGCCAATGCCAGGAGCCACTCCCCGAGGGCAGAGAGGCTTCGGGGAGCCTGCAGCCTCCCCGCGAGGGTCTTGCCCATGGAGTAGGAGCTCCTGCGGTGCAGTTCCTCTGCACAATTAAAGGCCCTTGGTTTTTTGTGCAACATAAGGAATAGCATGGAGGACATTAGGGGAAGGAAGGGAAAAATGAAGGGGGGGAATCGGAGGGGGAGATCATCCATGAGAGACTATGGACTCTGAGAAACAAACTGAGGGTTCTAGAAGGGGAGGGGGGTGGGGGGGTGGGTTAGCCTGGTGATGGGTACTAAAGAGGGCACGTTCTGCATGGAGCACTGGGTGTTATACGCAAACAGTGAATCATGGAACACTACATCAAAAACTAATGATGTAATGTATGGTGATTAACATAACATAATAAAATTAAATTAAATTTTAAAAAAAAAGGCCCTTGTCTTATGTCTAGGAATATACCAGCCTTTCCACTGAAAAAATAAAAATCCATTATTTGGAGAGTTTTGTCAAACCTTATATAAAACAATCTTGCAGCTTGTCCTGACAGTTTTCCAAACTGCAGCCACATTTTTAGGAGGAAATTTTAACACTGTCATTGTGTTTCCTTTATGTTGCAAGTCAGCTCTCAGTGGTGTCTCTTTTCTCTCTTTTCTCTTTGTCAGTCGGACTTCTCTAGCAACCTTTCATGAAGGAAAACATAACATTTCCCACATGTCCATGGACGTTGCTCGGGGACTGATGGTGACCTGTGGGACCGACCGCATGGTGAAGGTAACCTGCTCGCGTGTCCCGACAAGCGTCCGTGTATAGAGGGCTCCGTGATTGTGCTGCCAGCAGACGGCCATTCGTCCAGCCTCACTTTCTCATCGGCAGGCTTGCCTTCCCTTTTTATAAGCAGCCATGCAGCCTGAAGCGGGATGAAGACCCCGAGGAACACACTGCATGCTTGCGGGTGTCCCGCGCGCAGTGGCCACTCCTTCCGGGGGTGTTTCCTGCGCCATCTCCATCTCTCAGAGTCGCTGCTGGGGCCTGGCCTGACACCTGGGGGTTGCCATCTGCCCGGCAGTCCTGCCTCCCCAGCGGGTCAGGGCTTAGCCGGCCCCTGTCCCTGGTCATCCTTCCCCGGCTGGTGTTCCCCTCAGCCTGGACAGGTTTCCTAGTTGTAGGAAATAACCACACATTTTTTCATTAAATCCCTCGGGTCACTAATACAGAAACGAAAAGCAAGTGTTTTATACTGAGTACCACTCCAGAGTTGTGAAACTATGACACACTTTGTTTCGTAGTTTTTTTTTAAATAGGGGCTTTTCCCAGTAGGCTTCTTACTAAAAATGAAATTAAATTTATAGTAAAGCATCATTATTACAGCATTTTCAGGTGTCAAGATACCACTCACAAGCTTTTTTCACATTTTAGTGCACTAAGGGGTTCGTCTATAGATCTTGAGAAGGTTTTGTAGTGAAAGAATGAGAGAATGCGTTCTTTTGTCCCCTTTTCGCGTTTAACAGCGGTTTGGTGTGAACTCCGCTTCTGGACCCTGTGATGAGCGCTGCTTTCTGGCGTGTTCTTTCTCTTGCAGATCTGGGACATGACGCCCGTGGTGGGCTGCAGTCTGGCAACTGGGTTTGCCCCACGTTGATCCGGGAGCTGGGCGAGGTCTGCACCTTCCCCGTGGCTCCCTTTACCAACGCAGCCCTTCCCCGTGGCTCCGCGGTCACAGTCACGGGAACGGACAGTAGCCACTAAAAAAACAAAGCAACATTTTTAAAGAGAAAAAAATGTAAGGTGTGTTTGGGGGCATTTGTGGAACTACCTGTGGGGACGAATATGGAAAAAAAAGTTCATCTGTAGTGGTTCCCTGAGGAAAGGAATGACTTCAGCGAGACTTCCTCATGAACAGTGAGCTCACGTGTGCTCAAGGAGTCATTTGGCAAATGGGAGTTTTAGAGGAAAAACTGTTGAACGAAAGTGTTAAAGCAGTTCCCAGTGCAAACACCCCTCCCCTCAGACTTGCCGACCTTCCCCAGGCGCCTGTGGCTCTGTGGTTAGAGCAGGGATTCAGGGGAGGAGGACTTGCTGTCTCTTTCTTGAGGGGTGCAGGAGGACCCCAAGAACCCAGAGATCTCTCCTTCCCCGCTGGCAGTATGAGAATCCTCTCTCCACATAGTGATTCTTCTTGAAGATCTCTGTTCTCGGCAGGTAGCACCATTCCCTGCACTTGGTATTTGGAGTGCTCATTTCCTCTTCCCGGCCAGCCAGTAAGCCAGGGGCCAGCCTTCCCAGTTGTTACTAAGTGAGCCGTAAAATTGCTGCATTAACCGAGGCGGCGCGCATCCTTCCCTTTCCCCCAAGTGTGCTGTGAGGACAGAACGTTTTTATGGTGCTGTTAACGTGGGAGTCACACAAGCCGTCCGACTGTCTCACTGCTGGCAGGAACGACTCGGGGTGGTGAAGGGAGATGATCAGGCTGCTCCATGGGACGGCCCAGTCCCAAAAGGACGCATTCTGTCTGTAGTTCCACGATGATGGGCCCCTGCGGTATTGTGGCAGTTTAATAATAATACACCTCAGAAAAGAACTCCACAACTTTCCAAACTATGTTGACTTTTTGTTGTAAGGAATATTATTAACATCTCGTAGAAGGGAATTAGTAACCCAGAGCAGTAAGCGTTAAGCAGGTCCTGCGCAGTCATTCCTAACTTGTAAATTGCTTTCCTAGCCACTAGCGAATTCTCCTGTAGCAAATGGCATTTTAAAAGTTTTTGGCCACTTAGTACCAAGATGGGGAAGAGGTGGGGAATGGGAGAGCCTGTCTTTTAATATTCCCATATTTATTTCTTTGTTTTTAACCATAGTACACATACCTATTACTTTAGGGCTATGCGAGTGAGTGGAGAGAGGCCTACTTTTCTTAAAGACAAATTTTAAAATAGATAGCAACTGTATTTTTGTTAGTCTTACTAGTGGATATTGATAAAAACTCACTACTGCGTCACTGTGTTGGGATCATATCAAGACAGCATGGTTGTTATGTGTGATACCACGAAGGGATTAAATCTGTTTTTTAACAACAGAGAGGGACTATAATGTTTAAGACAGGTAATTAAACTAAGATATCTTACTAGCCAAGTGACACAAATAATAAGGAAAGGAGGTCAGGCACCTCATATTCTAGAATGATCTGCATTAAAAATTGACTTGCTTTCAGGAGTAAGACTGAAGGGTTTTGTTTCTCTGTGTCATTTTTGTTTTCTGTCATCTGAAAGAGGTGTTTCCTTTAAAAACTTCCTGTCAGCTCTCTGCAAAACGTAGGATACTAATACAGGCTGGAAGGACACTGGGGGGATGGGATCTTACAGGGCAGTGTTGAGTGTTAGCTCTTGTTCAGTTAATGGTCCAGCTTACACAAAGGTGCTATCCTGGGGATTTCATGACATCCTGAAAGGAAAATAGGATATGATCTGTTTCTTGCCATGTTGATGAGTACTGAACTGTGGTTTTGTTTGCCTTTAACTTCTGTAAAATGTGATTTTATAATGTCTGTGGTAGACTGAGCACAATTTCACACTGTAGCTTTTAGCCTTCTTTTATTTTAAAAAATTCTGAATGAAAAACCCAGTGTTCTAGAGAGAATATAAGGTTGTGAGAGCACCTCCTAAGGGGTTAAGCTAATATAAATCAAAGAGGAAAGGCATTATGTAAGGAAGAATTGGAGAGGGGCATCCGGAAAAGGAAAGAATGTTTCAATTAACTTTTCTCTGCACCAGAGCCTCTTAGCACTTTTCATTTTAAGAACTCATGTAGCGGGCTTGTCTTGTCTCTACTACACACAAGGGAGCAAATGGGGTAATATTTTTTATAGAGGTGGGCAAAAATTATTTTCTCAATTCTGCTGACTGGACACATAAGGACGATCCAGTGAGGCTTCTAGTTATTGCCTTATTTTGACTGTGTTACTCTTAAACCGGTCATTTAAAATAGCTCTTCAAGTACCAGTTCATGGTTTTTCCATTCCTGAATACTCAGCTAATTTCTACAACTAGGGATTAAGAAGTACAGAATATTAGAGAAGATCCTTACGTTTTAGATCTAGTATGTCTGCAATAAGGAAATGTCAATTCTTCATTCATGACGTGTTCTCAGATTGCCCTTTTTTTTTTTTTTTTTTTTTAGTGCAAATGATAGAAACACCCCCATGGCATTAGCTGGAAACAGGTTATTCAGTATACTGTAAATCTCTGTTTACAATGTCCTACTTCTGTCCTGCTGCCTGGAGGATATGAATAAAAATAGTGCTCTAGAATGCCGCACTTGGTTCTCCCCTAAAGAATTCAGTTTGCTTGTACCTACATTTTTAAACTGTTGAAACTGGCCTAAATATGTAATAAATTCCATAGTGACTCAGACCCGAGGAAATATTTTCTAAAATGAGGTTTCATTCAGTTACTTACTACTTCCGATACTGGATCTGGTGTCTTCTAAAATGTAAGGAACCAGTTACTATTAATGATAAACCATCTGCTCATTATGAATGTGAGATTTAACAAATAAGTAATACATGCTCCATTTATTCAAGTGTCTATTGCTTAATTGTTAATTGTGAGCAGATTATTGAATGCCTACTCTGTTTTCTGCAGTTTACTATACAGTAACTCTTTGAGTAAATCGTTTCATTGTGCAACAAATTTATATTAGAATACAATTTAAAGTGTTTTACTCTATAGCCTTTTTGACTGGGGAAGCAAAGGGCAATGTTGATTAGTACATTTTGTCTTGTACTAGCTATGTTTCTATAAGATATGGTGCCCCGTGTATCCCAGAGAGTTAGAAAACTGTTCTTTTGCTCCTGTTTGTGGGTTCTGTTTTTGTGTTGTTGTGTTTTTTTTTTTGAGAATATACATATACAATAAAATGTTCCTTGCTTGTTACTCTGTTGCTTAATTTAGCTTTTGTTATGTTTGATACGGACATAGGGCAATAATAGTAACCACCATGTATTCAGCACACTCTGTGCTGAGTGCTCTACCTGCATTCTGCTGTTCGATCCTGGCAACACTTCCGCAGGGCATTACTGTCCCTGTTTTACAGGTGAGAAAACTAACAAGATCCTGTCCGTCTGTCCGTTTATCTGTCTGACTCGAAAGCACTTGCCTTCTCCATACACCTGCTTTCACGTGCTAGAGTGTAGTGAGTGTTTCCTGTAAGGGTTAGGGGTCAGGTATTATTATCTCTTTTGAAGTTTGTGAAGCCCCCCAGTCCAATTGCTCTGGGTGTCTAGGCTCCCCAAGTCACATGGGGACACCAGCATCTGTGCCCCAGTTCTCCACATCAGCAGCTCAGTTTTGTGAATAAACACAGGGTGGTTCAGACCCAGGAGAAGTTATTCCTTCGCTTAGCTGATAGGAAGTTGATTTCTTAGAAACCAGCATGGCAGTTTACTGTGTTTCTTCAAAGCAATATAGCTTCATTTAATAAATAATATGTAATAATATATAATTAAAAAAGAATAAAAAGAAAATGAAAATTAAAAGATAATACCAAAAAGTATTAAAAAGATTTGTTTTAAGCCCTCTGTCCCACCACCCAAAGAAAACACTGTTAAAGCTGGGCTGTATGTCTTTCCAGTGTTTTTCTTAAATGCATGCATGCATCTGTAAAAGACACCTATGGATACAGTTTTAAGGGGCTGTACTTCTCCCCCCACCTGATGTCTTATGGATCGTTTGCCCGCATGAAAAAATAGAGCTCCACGGGAGCATTTTCAGTTGTGGTGGATGCGAGCTCCGTGTGGTCGGACCTGCGCTGAGGCCGCGGGTCTCCAGCGCCTCCAGGGTCGTTGAGGGCACGTGACTTGCTTTAGCCAGTGAAGTGCGGGCAGAAGCGTTTAATGGCAGGTGAGAGGCTTACCCTCCATGGGTTTCCCACCGGGGTCACAGAAGTGCATGTTGATAGAGAAGATCCCGTGGAGCCCGACTGCCCTGGACCCACAGTGGACTTTGCATAGGAGATCAGTAAATCTTTGTTGTTTCAATCCACTGAGGTTGCGTGAGTCTGTGCGTGTGCACGTGCGTGTGTGTGTGCCCTGCGGCATCACCTAGCCTGGACCGCAGTATCCCATCGTTCTGTTGTGTGGCTAAACTGTCGAGTATTTTACCAATTCCATGTGGAAGCTAGACCATGTATTTTTAGGATATTTATAATTTTAATTAAAACACTAGAAATACTAAATTCAGCATGCTTGTATGTTCATCTTTGCCCACTTTTCCAATTATTTTCATAGGATAAATACTTCAACATGGGAATTACTAGGTCAAAGAATATGCATATTTTAAGTTTTTTATTCTTACTGCTAATATCTTCACACCATGCCAGCACTTGAATTTTCTTCCTTTGAATAGGGCATAAAAAGGCACATCTTAATGTCTTAATATATGGAATTCCAGTTTATTAATTTACAATAAGAATTCTGTCTACCAAACAGACCATGTATTTTTTTTTTAAGGTTTGTTTATTTATTAGAGGGCACGAGCAGAAGGGGCAGAGGGAGAGGGAGAGAGACTCTCAAGCAGACTTTGCACCGAGCACAGAGCCTGATGTCGGACTTGATCTCATGACCCAGAGATCACGACCTGAGCTGAAACCAAGAGTTGGATGCTTAACCGACTGCGCCACCCAGGTGCCCCCAGACCACGTAACTTTAGGACAGTCTAGAGAGAACCCAAGTCATCACTGGAAGGCTGCTTAACAGCCAAGGACACAGAGGAGAAAGGTTGGCTAGATGACTGATGCCATCGTGAGAACCTGATGGGCTCATTGCTAAGGTTGCTGGACAGTGGAAATGCATGAGCAAGTTCTTGTTTCTGGCCTTCCCTTTGTAGATTTCATCTGGCTTACCATTCATCTGTAAAATGCATGCTCAGGGGAGTGGTTCAAGTATTGGAGTTCCAGCCTTCCTTCCCTTCACTCTTCAGTTCCTTAAGACTATACCTTAGATCTCTCTCTGTATCTTTGCACTGTACATGCAAACTATCCCTCAGAAGCCCATTACATATTGGTACATACAGTTTCTCATGAGAGCAGACAAACACATTCTGGGCCCACCTTCAGTGTTGTCATCTATAATGTAGAGCTGGGGCCTGAGATGACCTCTCAGGTCAAACCCAACTGGGAGACTGAAGGTTCCAGCTCAGTCTGTCTGACCTCAAAGCCCATGCTCCTTTTTTCTCTTACCCCATCCAGCTCGTTCATATTTGAGGTAATTTTAGATCCTGAGTTTTGACATTCTGGAGAAAGATATAGTAATAGACACTTGGTTACAGCATTAGCAAGGCAATGTGGCGTATTTTCCCACACCCAAAAGTTCCAGTAGACTCTGTGACAGATGTGACATTTAGTATCTTGCTGCAGGAGTCCTAGCAGCATTTATCAAATGGATTCCAAGTTGCACATGTGTGCTGAAAACAGGCAAGCTTGCAGACAAACCTCAGTACAAGCCTATGGGCTCTACCTTCCAAATGTATCCCAACATGGCCCCTTTGCACCATTGAGCTGCTATTACCATGGTCCAGTCCAGTGTTATCTGGATGATTCCATTAGCCTCCCTTTTTTTTTTTTTTTTTTAAGATTTTATTTATTTATTTGAGAGAGCACATTAGCAGGGAGGAGGGGCAGAGGGAGAGGAAGAAGCAGACTCCCCGCTAAACAGGGAGCCTGATGCGGAGCTTGATCCCAGGACCCTGAGATCATGACCTGAGCCAAAGGCAGACGCTTACCCGACTGAGCCACCCAGGTGCCCCGAATTCCATTAGCCTTCCCAGTCTCCCTGCTCCTGCCCCTATCATCCTGTTCCCAACACGCCTGTTAAAACATGAGTCAGATTATGCCATTCCTGTGCACAAAACCCTCCCAGTTCATCCCACTCAGTCGAAGCCCAAGTTCTAAAATGGCCCATCATTCCTTCCCCGATATCTGTGTTCTGGCTTCCTCCTATCTCCCCTCACAGTTCTCACTTTCCTCCTAATTGCTATTGGGATGAGGCAGTTGTTCACACAATAGCATTGAGCTCAGTGTCAGGCATATAGTAGGTACTTAACAAATGATGCTTGTACGTGTACAGTTTGGGTACTATGTGCATAAATGAACTTGTGTGAATTTGCCTTAAGTTTGTGGTGGGAGGCGGCTGCCCCCCACACACCATCACCCCCACCCGTCACACACCACCTACCAAGCCACTTTTAAGTTTCCAGAGGCTGGGGGTGCCTGGGTGGCTCAGTCATTGAGCGTCTCCTTCGGCGCTCGGGTCATGATCCCAGGGTCCTGGGATCGAGCCCCGCATCGGGCTCCCTGCTCCGCGGGAAGCCTGCTTCTCCCTCTCCCACTCCCCCTGCTTGTGTTCCCTCTCTCGCTGTGTCTCTTTCTGTCAAATAAATAAATAAAATCTTTAAAAATAAATAAATAAATAAATAAATTTCCAGAGGCTGAAAGGAGCACCTGGAGGAAAGTGTAGGGAGGTTATAGAGAATACGTTACACAAGGGACATGATGAGATGTTCTTGTCTTCCTGCAACCTCAAACGCCACTTCTGGGTGTCTGAGCGTCCTAAGACCTACTTTAAGACAGCCCCAGTTCGCAGCTTCATGTTTGATGGGTGTAGAGGTTTTAATTATTTCTGCAAATTCTCACTCTTATCAAGTGGTGGGATTTCTGTTCCCCCCCTTGAATCTGGGCCAAACTTAGTGACCCACTGATAGGATATGGCAGAAGTGACTCTACAATGTCTTAGACCAGATCAGAAGAGGCCATGTGGCTTCCACTTGGTTCTCTGGGGGAAGCCAGCCCCCTGAGACCTCCTGGTCAGCAGTGGAGCTGAGCTTCTGGCTGACAGCCCACATAACTGCCAGCCCCGTGAGTGCCATCTTGGACATCGGCCCGGTTGAGCGTTCAGATGGCTGCAGATCCAGCCCACCACTGGATTAGCAGGAGAGGCCCCAAGTCCCAGGTGAGACCCCAAGCTGCCCAGGTGAGCCCTTCCTGAATTTCTGACCCACCAAATTGTGAACAAAATAAAATGGCTGTTATAAGCTGCTAAGTTGTGGAGTGATTTCTTTCACAGCAACAGTAACATGAGCAGTGGGCCACTGGACCCAGGTTCCCATCTGGGAGCCAAAGGGCAGAGCGCTGCCCCCTCCCCACCACCTCCACACAAGAGAAGTGATATGAACTTGAGGCAATAGCGTAGCAGGGAGCTTCTTCAGGAGCAAGTTATTTTCCCATAAGGGTACTCGAAGGGCCTGTAGCCAATAAGTCATGGTCCTCCTTATTTTCTTCAGGCTTCCATGTGTCTGTCCACCATGGCCATCCTGCTGCCTCCACTCCAAATTGTTATTTGAGGTTTTCCTTTTGACCACATTGAATTTGGTTTGAACTAACCCAGCCTGGACTAAGCATATTAGATTCTTATATCGGCCATATTTAAGGGTGCTCACATTTTTCCATGTTTTTGTGCATTCTGTAAACACAAGCTGTACACCGTGACTAGGGCATGGAAGGTTCTGAATTAACAGAATTTTCAGTTTCCAAGCACTGATGCATACCTATACTGTGTGTGATGTTTATTATTTCATACAAAGTGCTTTTATTGACGTAACACCATTCATAGAAAAAATACTGAGTACTTATATATAGGTATTCTAATAGATTCTTAAAAGAACATTAGTGAACAAAACAGAGACCCCCACTCTTGTGGAGTTCACGTTCTTGCAGAGGGAGACAGACAATAAACCATAAGCCTAATAAAAAAAGGTAGATTCTACAGTATTCTAGAAGGTAATGAGCGCCATGGAGAAAAGAAAAAGGTTCCTGGAAATGGAGATGCCTATGGGCAGGGGTGGGGGGCAGTTTGCCAACTAGAGTGATTGGGGTGATACAC